TGATATAAACTTAGAGAAATGACACTCTGCGTCTAGGGAAAAAGTCTTCTTTTTTGTATTCTGGTGAAAAAGTTTAATTTGTTTTAAAAAATTTATTTAAAGAAAGAATAAAAACATTGAGTAAGAGCATGCAGTCCTGACTGAAATAATCAATTTGTTGAGTAGACCTGGACATTTATTTCGATTATTTAAAGTCCTTTTGAACATTCTGCATTTACTCAGTTTGACATTACTGTGTAAATGACATCAGCATTGATGCTTGTCTAGTAATACATGTGCTGCTATCTCTTTTCTCCTATATATCTAAAACAAGAAGAAAATTAAATATAAAACTAACCACAGATACAAAGTATGCTTAATTGGGGTTTCTAGTGATGGGAAAGATGGGGATATATTGTTAATGATGGAATCTCATCACGAAGGGAATTGCATTTTGAGGGAGGGGGCAAAACAGCGAAAAGTTGGTGATTAGATTAAAGTATATTCCTGGACAGTATAAGACATTAGGGAATAGTACTGAAAGTCTGCTAAGTGACCTGCTTCGGTTATTAAGCTGCATTGCCAGCTTCCCCAGGGGAAGGTGGAGAAATCTTATTTCTGGAGAGGTTGCCAGTTTCCATATTACTAGTGGTGTAAAATTTTTAATTTGAATAAAAGGGGAAAAGACATAACATCTCCTTGTTTTTTCCTATTTGTATAGTTTGGATATAATCATAATATTGTGTGAAATCCAAAAATCAAGTGGATTTCTTGATTTACCTTATGTGTATTTTCTCTTCCATCTAGATAGACTTTACATTTAAGAGGAAACAATCCACGCAAAAGAAGAACAAACAAATCAAGATGTGTAGCTCTGTGGCTGCCAAGTTGTGGTTTTTGACAGATCGCCGCATCAGGGAAGACTATCCCCAAAAAGAGATCTTACGAGCATTGAAGGCCAAATGTTGTGAGGAGGAACTGGACTTTAGGGCTGTGGTGATGGATGAGGTGGTGCTAACAATAGAGCAAGGAAACCTGGGTAAGTCTCTACTAAGTCATCTTTTAGATTTTTACTTAGAATATAGTGAGTCTGCTTTTTTTTTAAAAATAGAGACAGTATCTCTGTCACCCAGGCTGGAGTGTAGTGATGTGATCACAGCTCACTGCATCCTAGAACTCCCAGGCTCAAGCAATCCTCTTGCCTCAGCCTCCTGACTAGCTAGGACTACAGGCATGTGCCACCATGCTTGGCTAATTTTTAAGATTTTTTTGTGTAGACGGGTCTCAGTATGGTGCCCAGGCTAGTTTTGAGATCCTGCCCTCAAGTGATGCTCCTGCCTCTGCCTCTGCTACCTTGCCCAGCCCAAAGTTCTTTATTCTTTAAGTTGAGATATAATTCATTTGATAAACTGCATAGATCATCTCGTATTGGGGAGGGTATTTGAGTTGTTTCCAGGTCAAAACTTTGAATAAGCCAGCTATGAATGAGTCTTTTTGATTTCTCTTGGGAAAATAACTCCCTATTTAAAAATGGCTGTATAGTATTCAATTGTGTAGAATTGTGATTTGGAAATATCTGTAGATATTTTTGTTTAAAAACAAGTTGGATAGGAGGTTGCTATTGGCAGCTAGTGGATAGAGGGTAGAGATGCTACTAAATATCCTTTAATGCATAGTAGAGTCCCCCCACAATAAAGAATTATTCTGTTCAGAAATTAGTTCTTGAATTTATACTGTACATATTTTATCTGGAAAATAAACTCTTCTTGTTAAAGCAAAAACCAAATACACATTTGAAAATCTTTGCTTGGAGCATTACCACATCTTAACTTCAGGATCTACCATTATTTCAAAGTTATAAGATGAAGTCTATCATATAGCATCTATTATTTACTATCATGGCTATGAATAGATATTGAGGGGGAAGTTTCTATTAATTAACCTAAATATAAGGAAAAAGATGTCTTAAATCTAGAACTGGAGAGGAGTTAACTTGTATCCCACATTATT